CAATGCAGTCTGAGTATACAACTATACTCGAGAAAAGTTTCATTGTTAATATTCTATGTTAGGAGCTTGTTAAATGCCAGCCTCCTGTATCGGAAACTTCGCTGGATGCTAATGAACGAGGATAAACGGGTCACGCCTTGCTATAAATTAGCTCAATAGATTGTTTTAAGTACTTTAGATATTGGGATAAATTTGTTATACGATTAATGTTATTTGCTCATTCTGCTTTATTTATATAGGTACACAAACATTTGTTTGTTATAGTTGTAATTGATAATACAATTTAATTTGTATAATTAAACTAGCGTTTTACTTTCACTTCGCTCGGGTACTTCCCTGGCTGCCTTTTGTATTTTTAGTATTATATACAGACAAATTTTATTACTGACAGTACCTAGTCTATATGTTACTCTAGGACAGAGTCAATCTGTGTTCTTAATTTTATCTCATAAACATAGATAGTGTATTTTCTCATGAGTTATGAAGGAGCGAAAGAATTTAAAATTAAGGCAGTAGCAAGCATAATCTTTAAGAATAGAGTCATAAAAATTCCAATTGTTATAACTCAAAAGTGCATAAGAGTGCTTACCCATCGTAAAAAGTGTCAGTAATGAATGTGTAGATCATATAAGCTGGGCTCAGACACATAAATACTAGCTTTAAGTCAGCACGAGACGTAAAAGGCTTTATTGATTGTAAACCTGTGAGCGTCAATTGCAATTAATTACGTTTGCAGTGTCATAAACAGGGAAGCCAATAAAGGCAGATCGCGCTAGAGATCCCAATGCCTACCAAGTTGTACGTGTTTGAAATTACAGTCTGATTACAATGTTATTTTACCAAATTCTATGAATTTGTTTTTTTTTTTTGTAATTGAATTTGTCATTTACATCTTACTAAATTACAAGTTTTTTTCCAAATTATTAGAATAAATGTATTCAAAATACATATTTAAAATACTAATTAAAGTTACCTACAGCCTAAACAATTTGCCACAATATATTTAACTATTTATTACATTGCTAGTATAAAATTATGCCGTAGATCGACTCTAGTTCTCGTAGTTATGGTGAAAACTTGTAAGGGCCGCCCGCCCAGTCGCGCTACGCTCACCGCAGGGCGTGCTCGCTTTTCATGTGCAAAGCATTGCTAAAGTTTACACGTGCTCTTTGTTACGGTAGGTGCTTACCTTTAACTATATACGAGACTTATGAACTTCAATACTTTTGTGGATTTTTATATTCGGCTAAATTAAAAAACTGTCAAGTCGATAAGTAAAATAGTATGAAACTCAAAAATTTAATAGTACTAATTAATAAATATTTTTTATTATAATTTAGTAATAACTGCATATATAATTGCTGAAAATTTTATTCAACATAAAAAGATGTATAAATTAACATTGTGTTTACGTTTTGAAAGTGCCGCCCGCCCAGTCGATTCAAGTTCGTGTTCGGTGCTTATATTACACGTTTGAAGCTTTATTGCCTATACTTAAGTGACACGAACAAATACATACATCGATCGTTGTACGTGCGTTCAGTTTTGAATAAGAGAAGACGAGTGTGGGTTTCGAATAATTTTCAGGAAGTTATATGACAAAAACACGTCGTTATAATATAACGATCAAAAGTTGACGGTGACATTAATTTTTTTCATGAAAAATTTATGACTGGCAGTGACTGTTGTACTAATTTTCATTGGAAATCTGCAATCAATCGTACAATTCGAATATGAAGCGTACTTTTTGTTTCTGCGTAGCTAGTATATAGTCTTTGTTTGAATATTATACGAATATTTAGTTGCAGATATTGCATTTATTTAAATTATTTTGGGGTTACGGGTACTTACACTTACGTTAAGGGTCAACTTATTTTTTGTATTAAATAAAGTAAGCGATTACTATTTGCATTCGTTAAATCAAAATATATGACACTAGTGACTTACCCTCGCTCCACTCGAATGTATCCCTAGGTATGTTGTGTATGTGCTGTTATACTAAATTCTTTTTCTAAAATAAAAGTAGCTTTTGTTACTCCTTTTATCATCAGCTATCTGCCACTGAATGTCACGTCAAAATCTGTCCAGCCGTTTCGGAGATTAGCCGGAACAAACAGACAGACAGGCAGAAAGACAGACCGAAATTTTAAAAGCTGTTTTTCTTATAGGTAGCGTATATAATTTCATATGCATCTAGTAAAAAGCTGTTATTTTGACATTACAAACACTTAAATTTTATTTATCTGTGATTAGATACCTGTGATTAGATCTGTGAATAGTACCGAGTTCTTTGTGTAAATGTATCAGTATATATTCGATATTCATGTATATTATGTTTACAAAAATAAAGAGTTACATTAATTAATAACATTTAATGTAGAAAATTAATTTATTAACAGTCAATTTATACAGTTGTTATATCTTTTTATAATATGAATTTTTCACTTTGTAATTGGCATATTTATGCACCATTTCCCACTGGAGTAATGTTGTTTCCCCACTCTTTTGTCAGCTGTAGACTGCAGTAAAACATTAATTTTAATTAACGTTATTTAAACGTTGCTGTAATCTTATACATATAATAAAATTGTAACTAAGCCGAATCTGTACATTTAATATTTTTTGGAAAATCTTATTCAAATAGACATTATTACCAATATAGAGGCCGAATCTATAGTTTTTAGAATTTTTGTTTGTCTGTCTGTCTGTCTGTCTGTCTGTTACCGCATCACGGGAAAACTACTGGAGGGATTTTGATGATGGTAGCTGGTAATCGGGGTCAACATATAGGATACTTTTTATCGCAGGAAAATATATAAGAAAAAATATTTAATGTACAGATTCGGCTCAGTTACAATTTTATTATATGTATAAGATGTATGTATGTGTGTAATATGTATGTATCATACATCTATCATATAGTCAGCAAGCACAGCGTTTCTGTCAATTCCAATTACAAAACGGATCGGCTTATCTGAACTCTTTCCTCCGTTTAACTGTAAACTAACGGGGTATTATCGTCGACCGACTTTGTAATTACCGCGGGCATACTCACTGTTTCCTATGTATGACACACAATTTTGTATGAACATATTTTATTTGGATTTTATAAAGAAGGAAATAACAATGTGTGGCATCTTTATTAGGTCAATTTTTTGCGTTATGGAAGACAATATCGGCATTGTAATTAGTAATGCTAGTGCGTCGCACTGTCATTACTGTCTGCCTTATTGTTTTAAAAGAATTGTTTTTTTTTAATACTTTGAATATTTTATTAATTCGCGATTCAATCGCGAAGTTTAGAAAAAATATTTTACGAACTTTTTAAATAGGTATAGTTGAGAGTTTCAGAGAATCTAATGTGTATGTATGTATACAATTTGCAGTCGAATTGCTATTTTTTTAAAACAAAAGACCTTATTAATAAAAATGTACATAGAATTTCTTATATGTATATACATATGTATGAAGTAGGTTACCGAAAAAAAAATATATATAACGAATTATTACAATTATAAATATTACATGTAAAGTAATATAGTTAGACAAAAACATTGTTAATTAATTTATAGAATCATAAAATCATCACAAGCAAAATAAAAAGTAAAATAATGTCAAAATAGAACTATAATTAAATTAAAATTAGATCAAAACAAATCAAATAATTGTACAATATTGTTGCACTGCGAACGATGTTTGTCCATTTTGTTTACACTGCTACTTTAATGGCCTACAAGGATAACGGAGGCCTGTGACGTCGGCGGGAACGTATACAAACTCTTCACTTTACTTCAGTAATAATTTGAACGCGCTCGAAATCGAACCGATGACACTGTCACATTGACTTGAAATTATTTCCAAACATTTTTTTTATTTCGTCTAAAAACCTTATTATATTCTACCTTTAATATGCTAGCGTGAGTTTTTGTATACATTTTTTTTAAATATTTGATATCATATTGTTTGTAGTCGGTTATTTTAGTTAAGTGCAGTAAAGTTATAAGTCAAAATGTTGTCAATGAGGCCCGTGGAAGAAAGGCTCTTCAGTTTTAAGAGTCTCAAAGAGAAATTTGAACAGCCCAGGTAAAATATCAGGCTATATATATATGCTTTAATTTTAATTAAATAAATATATTTCATGCGTTATCAAACTATCAAGTACAAATAATGTTTATATATTTAATATACCTATATGTTATGATTATCATTTAAAGGTAAATTGTTTAAATTATTTAGTATCATTTTATCGGCTCTTTATTGTATAGTATTAATTGATTTTACTAATAGAATTGATAAGCCATGTAATCAATTTATAATATGGGTATTTGTTAATATACAATAACGATACAGTAAAGAGTAATTATTATTATATTTTTAGTTAAAAATTCATACTAATATTATAAATGTAAAAGTGTGTTTGTTTGTTTGCTTGTCTGTCCTTCTTTCACGTTGAAACGGAGTGACGAATTGGTGTGATTTTTTGTGTGGAAATAGTTGGAGGGCTGGAGCACCATAGGCTACTTTTTACTGCGGGAGTTTACCTAATTCCCACGGGAAAACACTTTATAATACAATCCAAAAAAATATATTTATGATCAAAATTACTTAAAACTAGGTATTAATGCTCTTCAATAAAATTAAATAAATACGTGTTTTAGCATTTTTCGAAATTCGTCCTATAAGGGGGTAAAATAGTGGATGAGAGTTTGTATGAAACTACTTTTATAGAGATTTCTTCGTAGTTTTAGCGCGAGCGAAGTCGCGGGTACTGCTAGTGATTTATAAAAACACTAGTGAATTACCCTCATCTATATATTTCAGGCCATAGTCTATCTGTGTACTAAATTTCATTCAAATTGGTCCAGCCGTTTTAGCGTAAGAAAGTAACAGACATGCACACACACTCAAACCTTCGCTTTAATAGTAGTAGTGGTACAGTATAGTTTTATTATTATTAATATTTAAAAATGGCATATAAAAATATTTGCTTTTGTCTGCAGGTTTGGCGGTGGCGTGCAGAGAAGCGCCACGAACGCCGATATGCCGAATCGAGGTGGCACCATTGCCGAAAGGTAAATTTGATATTTAATCTTTACACATGTATATTATAAGCTTATCTATTTGTAAAGTACTATGTGCTTGTATCCGTTCATCTCATTTTGATGAAGTTAATGCACATCCCCGAAAGATTGCGTCTTCTTTAAATGTGCTTATATAAATTTAGGGTAGATATGTATGGATGTGTGCTAGTTTATATAAGCCAGGCGAGTCCCTATCACATATTTATGATTATCATCATTTTAATACTTTCTTAGATTTACGCGAATATTTGACATTTTAAATAAAACTATCTTTTCGGATTTTGTCGCGGATTTATTTGGATTTTTGTTTCCCGACGTTTCGAATGCTTTACAGCATCCATGGTCACGGGAGAGACTGAGGTGTTACATGTCTTGAATGTATAGTTGTTACAGACAGCCTACCCACAATTAACAAAATGAAAATTGCACCAATTACATTACAATATTTTTTAACTTTAAACATTTTTATAATTTTAATTATAATTGAATATGGAAAATTATTTATTTAATTTTGCTATTATTTTTATAATTATTACAATTTTAAAATATTAATTAGTAATCTATATTTAGTGTTGCCATTATTATATTTATAACCATAAAGAAAAATATAAAATGTAGTATTTATTATTAAAGCTATATAATTGTTCTATGTGTAATTTAAAAAGTTAAAATTAATTAAGGATAATAATTTTAATTTAGTTTGCTATTATTTAAAAACAACTTACTAAGCAACACTATTAATATATACTTTTACAAATGAAAAATGAAAAATATTAGTCTGATAAGCTGTCATTTTGATCTACACAGTATGAACTTACTACATCTGCCTGTCGAAGCTATGTTCTGTTAGAACACATAGCTGATGTGAAGCACCGTCGCAATACAACATCTGCTGTCTGCAAACATAGTCAGGACCACCCAAGCCATTATATTCGCTTCGATAGACCTCAAATCCTGGCGAAAGAAAACCGATATCGCCCTAGAATGATTCGAGAAGCCATAGAAATTAAAAAACATCCTAATTTCAATAGGGAAGATGGCTGGGTACTACCATCGTCATGGGATCCTGTTATTAATATAATAAAATCAAATAATAAATATAAACATAACAGACAGGCAGATGTAGTAAGTTCATACTGTGTAGATCAAAATGACAGCTTATCAGACTAATATTTTTCATTTTTCATTTGTAAAAGTATATATTAATAGTGTTGCTTAGTAAGTTGTTTTTAAATAATAGCAAACTAAATTAAAATTATTATCCTTAATTAATTTTAACTTTTTAAATTACACATAGAACAATTATATAGCTTTAATAATAAATACTACATTTTATATTTTTCTTTATGGTTATAAATATAATAATGGCAACACTTAATATACATTACTAATTAATATTTTAAAATTGTAATAATTATAAAAATAATAGCAAAATTAAATAAATAATTTTCCATATTCAATTATAATTAAAATTATAAAAATGTTTAAAGTTAAAAAATATTGTAATGTAATTGGTGCAATTTTCATTTTGTTAATTGTGGGTAGGCTGTCTGTAACAACTATACATTCAAGACATGTAACACCTCAGTCTCTCCCGTGACCATGGATGCTGTAAAGCATTCGAAACGTCGGGAAACAAAAATCCAAATAAATCCGCGACAAAATCCGAAAAGATAGTTTTATTTAAAATATCATCATTTTGTTTGTACATATGTGTCAATATACATAATAGTTATGTATTTGCATTGTACTTGACGCTTGTCATAAATCTATTTTATAAAAAAATATGAAATATTTCAAGACTGTTTTTATTGTAACGTAATTACAATACAATTTATACAATATAAATAATTAATTAAGAGTTTAAGTATTATACAGGAAAATTAAATAGTTTAAAAATAAAATTGTAGGTTCTATTTAGGTTTTTCAGAAGTTGTGATTTTCCGTATTATTTTAATATTATAAATGTGAAAGTTTGTGAGTATGAATGTTTGTTACTCTTTCACGCCCGAACGGCTGAAAGGATCTGGATGAAATTTGGCACAGAGATAGATTATAGTCTGGAATAACACATGGGCTACTTTCTATCCCGGAAAAATACACGTTTCCCGTGGGGTAGGTTTGTTTTTGTTTTCCTAGAGGTGAACCCGAGCGAACTCGCTGGCATAGAAATATATAGGAGTTAAAATATATAAAACACCTATTTTAGAACGTTATTAAGAGACAGACAACATAATTAATATTAATCTGTATTTCCTCTAGTGCGGAGTGCGCGCACTTGAGGCGATAATATTGTAGGGTCGATGACATTGTGCATTGGTTTCGATTGCATCTATTTTCATTTTATCAAACATCTTAATATATATTTGATGATAACCAGATCTCGGGCAGCTGCCGTTCGCATCAAATTAAATAAAATATATATACTTGTATTCGTATCTTGTACTTTTTTAAAGTAATTTCTTAAGGCACGTGGGTAGCATAAATTTTCTTAACGGTGATTTGCGAAATTTTCCATTTTGCTACCAATAAATTTTTTCATCTAAATCATAAATGATAATAAATAACATTTAAACTAATAACAGAGTAAACACCTTTATAACATCAATAAGATATGACCTACCACAATCTCTACACTTTGCTCTGTCCAAATAACTTTGCGCTAATTTTACATAATAGTCTTTGTTTATAAATTATTTACGAACTAATTATTTGTATAACAAGTTTAAATATATGCATACGACAACCAATACTTATTACCTTTAAAATAGATTATCTATACTAATATTATAACGAGGTAAAGTTTGTGAGTTTGTGACGTTGTAGGGGGTAATCTCTGGATCTATTAAACCGATTTAGATGAAATTTCATAAGAAGATAGTTTGAGACACTGGGAAGGACTTTTTATCTCGGAAATCATCCCTTAAGGGGGTGAAAATGGGGATTAAAGTTTGTGTAGGGAATCAAGTTAGGGACAACCCGAGCGAAGCGAGGGTGAGTCGCTAGTGTAATATAAAATTACCGTTTAAAGAAAACAATAGAGTGGATAAGTGCTAAAGGAACGATTAGTAGCCCATGTACATAAGTATAACTTATCTCGTAATCGTTAACTACTTGGAAGTGCACGATATGATTCGTTTTAGTTCTACTTCTCTTTTCTTTCTATTATGGTTTATAACATAATCGTTTTTTTTTAGAAAAATCGCTTTTTTGTATTGCTATCTCAATATCGATAGAATAAAGAAAAAATATTAAGTTGCTCTATCAACATCGGCGTCAGCTTGTTTGACATAGCCTTATCTAAAGGGCCACTTGCTCATCCCTCTTCTGATCTCACTCAAGCTGAAAATATGCTTATAAGAATTTATTCACATTTATAAATGAACACTAGATATTAAATGAAAATTTATTTTTAATATTTAAAATTTGAAGGTTATAATTTTGAAAATAGTTTTTGGTTTTTTAATTTTTTATTGTATTGAAAGCTTTACTTATTTATTCAAGTAGAAACTAATATTTGTGAAAAATAATGTCATTTCTATAACCGTTTAAGATTGGAAAAGTAAAATATATATATATGAAAATTACATATTCTATTACATAATCTTTTAAGAAATTTCTAATCCCCATCGATTGTAGAACGACATCTTATCTAAGCCCTTAGTTCATATACATAACTGTTTTATGTCGATGATTAAAAAATCAACCCTAAATCAATTATTGATGTCTAATTTATCTCACCCCCATTCCAGATTAGCGGCTCTTCAAGCGGCGGGCGCGAACGACTGGCGCGCGAGGGTGTGCCGACTCAGCCCTGAGAGGGAAGATTCGAAGGCAATAGAGAGAGCCAAGAACCGGATCAATGTTAGTACTTGCATGGTTTTTGTTTATTTTTTGACACTTAGTATTTACTGATAGATTATCTTAATCTATACATACTTTTATACTATTATACAAATATGTATATAAAACAAAAGATATTGTTTGTTTGTTGCAACATTTAATTTCTGAAACGGCCAATTCGATTTGAATTTTATAGCTTATTTAATGGGATAGGCTATTTAATTACATGTAAATAAACATAATGGACGGGTCGCGGGTAACGTTAGTTATTGAAATAAAAAAAGATATTTTTAATTTTTATGATAGTAAAGTGGCGAAGACGAATTATATTGTTTTGATAGTTTAATAGACACTTAACTAATTGCCTCGGAATACTTATTCTATTTACCGCACTTAAGTAGATTCATTCTTTCGCATTAGAATATAATCAATATGAAGTAAGTTGTAAGAATTAAGTGACGTTTTGAAAGTTTAAAAGTATTCAACATTTTCCTACAGCTGCATACAATTCGCAAGCTCCATTCATGAATTACAATGTTCTTTGCCGAACAATGATATAATACAAATGTTGAATCCTTATTAGATGATAAGACAATGCACGAGTACAATGTCTCCTGTATGAAGCTATAGAATATTTTCTTTTGAAATTATTATCTAGACTGATTGATAGAAATTATAGAAACTTTTTGGACCATAGGCATTTTTGTATACATTATATTTCTAAATGCTAGATATGATAGATTTTCTCTAATTGGGTTTTCAATATTAAATTGATTAAATTCTTTGAGTTAGAAAATACAGTAACTTCGAAACTTTTGCATTAATAATACGATTACCGCGATTATACATTTGATTATGTATAAGTGCTTCGAGTCCAATATGTGAATATTTTGTTATTTATGTATCAAAACTTATACTTAATTCCGAAATAGTTCAGGATTAGAAATAAACAACAACAAGACAAATGTTGTTGCTTATAAACATTTATTTAAATGATACTTGATGTATCAGAGCAGGTATAAAAGCACAAACTACAATTTTCCTATGTTTGACGTAATAGGGCTAAGTTTGTTTAACATAATCTTCTAAATTCCGCCATATAGGTATTTAAAAAGAAGTTTAATTCAAACCCATACTAATTTGAAATTATTAGCTCTATGTTTTTAGGGTTAAGTTACGATACGACATAGTATTTTGTATCTCAATCTTCAAATAATGTAAAGATTTTACAATAACTACTATACAATAACACATATCACCATATAGTTCCATGGTAAGCTACGAGGCTCATGTTATGGATACCAGAAATACATACATATTATAAATATAAACACTCCTGGCTGACATTCGTGCTCATCACACAATGAATGCCACCAGCGAGACTTGAACCCGCGACCGCTGGCACAGCAAGTAGGGTCACTACACACTAAGCCAAACGTGTCGTCAACGTTATGATATTATTCTGTCTTATTTGTAATATATAAGGATTTAACACATATTATTAGTTCGGCGTCACTATTCGCAACTGCTCTATGAATAGTTATTATTAATGCGGAAATGTCGTGTATCCCGTCATTAAGCACGACGCGGAAACCGCTATGCTTATTTAATATAATATATGTATTTATAAAGAAATTAATTAAAATTTAATCATAATGAGATTTGTACTTCAAAATATAAGTAGGTTAACAATAATATGTACTTGCTTTTATTATATTTTCAATAGAAAGCTTGATATAAAAGTTTTATTGAACGTTCTTTGTGTTGGTTTTCTACACAATACGTATTGTAGAGAACAGATAATCGATACTAAAATATAAGGAAAACAAAGATGGCCTAATAGAGCTTTTGATTAGCAGGCTATGAAATTCGAGGTTACGAGTTCAAATATTTGTATAGAAAATGCGTTTGTTTCATCAAATAAAATACAGATGTTATTTCCGATTGAGCTATGATAATGCGCGATATTAAGAATCGTAATATAAAACTAATTTGGTCGACATCGGTTTCTTTATCTCTTGCAATCTTATAAGAAGCTTCTTTTAAAGATATAAAATTAAATATGAAAGTTTTGACTTCTGTTTGAATACACATTACTCGGGAACGGTTGTAGTGTGATTTAAATGACATTTCTTTTAATTTAATATGTAGTATAATACTTTCTTATTTTTACGCGAATATTTGACATTTTAAATAAAACTATCTTTTCGTATTATTTCGCGGATTTATTTTTATTTGTCTCCAAGGCATTATATCGTTAGCAGAAGCTTGAGCTATACACATCGTGTAGGTCGATGAAATTCGATGCGTCAATCAGTGATATCTCTGGCTAGTATATGGCTAACCTTGATATTACTAAACATTGATTATTGCATATTGTTTGTGAAGAGTCTGCCTTTTGAGTCACTTTTTATCTCTTTTTGCATATGCATCTTGCTATAAGATGCATGTATTTAATGTACTTTACATACGACTTGTTATTGCCCGCGGCTTCTACTGGCCGATATGGTATATTCCTATGGTATACCCAAGCTATCTCCATTTCTGATGTTATTGAAATCGGTTGAGTTGTTACAGAGTTAAAACGTAACAAACACTCTCACAAATACACAAGTCGTTTTTATCAAAACTTGATATTTAAATATGCTAATAATTACTATGAGAGTATTCAGCATACGGATATTTATGTTCATCGTGAATAGGAGTTTTAGTTGTAAATATTATTTAAGTCAATATAATATGTTATAGCTCTTTTTATAATTTTCTATCGCATAATTCCCTCTTTATTGCTTAATAAATAAAATGTAATAGAAGAACTATTTCGCTTAATATGTCGTAAAACTATGATTACTTAAGCCCAGACACAAAGGAAAGTTTACGTAGCAAAAGAGAATATTGGTCGGAATTTTGGCAACGGAACCCATTAATTAATAGTGCAGACCGTACATTTTAAGTTCTAAGTGTTCTTACATAAGGCTCAAAATCTATTATATTAAGTTGACAAGACCCAGGCTATTTTCTGTTCGGGAAAACATTAACCTTAATAAACCTTTAGTCCCTTTGCTTATCAGTCACATTCTCACACAATATTAACGTTTAGTTGATAAGTAGATTAAAAAGCTTTGAATACACTCATGTTGCTTCAATCCTATGTTAATATAATGAGAACTACTGCTTACAGTTTGTAAAAATTGTTCAAATTATCACATAATTAACACTATAACATATAAGTCTGAAAGCGAATGAGTAAGTGCTGTGAGGCATATGTGTGTGTTACCTTTCATGCTGTAACGGCCAAACGGTTTTGAGTGAAATTAGGGATGGAGATAGTTGATATCCTGGGTTGAACGCAAGGAATACTTTTTATGGACGTACGACTTGAGTGGAACCACGGGCAAGTACTAGTAGATAGTAATATTAATGCAAACGATTAAATTTCCCATAACCCATTTAATTGTTAGCGAAAGAGAGGGAGAGAAGTACCGAGTCTTTAGTAAAATATAGAAATTTTCACAGTCCATGAACCATATTAAGGCCAAAGTGTATGTTTGATTAAACACTGCCTCACTGAAATAACCAAAATGTCAGTTTCTAACCTTTTACTTTTATCGGGAAATAAATGAGGTCTTATGCTCTGGTTATCAATCGCAGTCACGAAAGCTTTCTTTTCAAAGGTCTTATAACATATTTATACGGTTATGTTATAATGGTGACATATTTATATAGTGTTTAAGGGAACTATCATAGCATTTCTCATATTGAACACGAAATGATATTGATTTTAACTCTTTTTTTGCCCATACAAATATTTTTTGTGGGTTTTATTTATATATTACTTAAATAATTAATGTTATGACTTCTGCGCCATCTATTGTAGACTCGAGGCGCTATCAAGCCGCGCTTAAGTACAGCGCCATCTAACGGCAGATAAAGGAAAATGATTGCATTTTTAACTTTTAGGCGCGAATTTTAAAACCACGAAAATTTGTAGAGGACAATTTATTTATATTATTATTTATTATAATCTTAATTTTTCGAATGACAAAATAATGTTTACATGAATATTATTAAATCTACATCGTTTACTGGTGACTCAAAATATACCATTTATGGAGTGTACACTATGATTCGTAATAAACAAGTGATTGTCGCCATTTGTTAAATATTTATAGATTTCTTTACATATTTTGTACATATTCGATCTATAAAATATAAGATATAGTAGCGGCTCACCCTCGCTTCGCTCGGGTTCGTCGCTAGGTACGTTTTAAATAGATATACATAGTTATTAGCCAGTGTTATTAGTCATATAAATATTTTTTTTTCGTTAATTTTTCTGACGTTTTAATACTTAGGTATTAACCTATTCCGGAATGAGAGAAATCCAAAAATTCAAATATCATAAAAATTGGTCCAGCCGTTCTTGAGTCTTGTATACGGGAACGCAGTCGAACAGGCTAAAAAGTATCCTATGTCCGTCTCCTGGTTCTAAGCTACCTCCCCACCAAGTTTCAGCCAAATCGGTTCAGCCGTTCTTGAATTATAAATAATGTAACTAACACGACTTTCTTTTATATATATATAGATTGTGTTTTTCATCGTTGAATAATTAGTATGATTTTATAAAACTACAATTTGTAATTTTCAGTATTTTTATTAGTATTATAAATTGTAATAGTTTCGCTTGCAGCTCTTGTCATTGTCTTGTATATCCGAGACATAAGTTTTGTCATTCCAAAATTCACTCAAATCTACTAAACCGTTATATCATCAAGACATAGTAAATGCATACACTCACTTAAAAACTCAAAATTTTTACATTTTTAATATTAGCGTGACAAGTATTGTATACTTACCTATGACTGTTTATTACAATACGAAAGGAGATTTCACCTACAGTTTCAGTATTTAAGTACGACCTGATTCAATAGCAATTAGGCAAATTAATACACCTTTGGCCCCATTCTAATCTTAAGGTAATGTTTTACTTTGCCGTATATGCTTAACCTAACTTCGTGGAA